CTTAGTTGAACTTAAGAAAAAATAGCAAAAAGTGTTCAAGTTTAAATCCAAAAACCTGTTCGAATCCTGTAATTCTTGACCAGTTCTCATTTTTATTACATCGTCATTATTAATTAATATTTAAAAGTTCTTTTAAAATTAAGTACTTTTTGGGCAATCCGATAGAGACCACGAAAGAAGAAATTTAGGTGCTAGTAAGTTAAAGCAATCAGGTTTAACCATATATGACCATTTTTCGGTGTCTCAGTCAGATTTAATGGCACCCGCAACCGATCTAGCTATGTTGGCCGTCCATAGTCCCCAATGAAGTAAATTGGCGCTGGACTAGGTGTAAAAATGTTCTTAGTCTTCGGTGGCAGTCCTGTAGTCGCCGAATACTGTAAAACAAGAATGGCTGATTCGAATTAAGAAGGCTTAGCTGGGGTTGGTGGATAAAGAACGAAGTATATGACATGTATAGTGTTGTTGTTGGGGCATGAGCATTAAAGACCCGAGGTATATTACTTTTTTGGATTTGCACGACGTTGATTTGTCAAGGAATAAGCGTCAAAGTGAAAGTGACAGCATATAGTGATCCACAACATTTTGCAGTGACGACTTTATACAAAATATATTCAAGATCGACGTAGCAAACGTCGACATTTCTAAGATCGTGCAGAACGCTTCACCTATTTAGGTAATGACGGCAAAATAATCAAAGCGAAAAGCATCTTTAATAAGCGGTGTTGTAGAGTGTTGTTTGTCATCGGTCGGATCGACTTAAACAAGTGCGGGCGAAGCAACCTCGGGCGAATCCACTTTAGGGGGAAACGACCACATAATTTAGATGTACTAGTGAAAATAATTGTTACATTGAAGTGAATGATGCTGTATTCAAGATGTAATGTGAATAAATAACTTTGACCAGTTGAAAAATACGTTAATGATGTTGATCTCTTGTTCAAAAACTCCTAGTTTAAAGAAGGCATAAAATGATGAAACTTTGATTACAATGGAATCTCACGAATATCACTCGAACCTTTAGATAACAAACCTTTATTTAAAGATTGGCTGCGTTGGTTTTGCGTGTAGGTATGCTATAATTGCGCTGACAGGGAAATGCCAAAATGGCAAGTAAAGCGGAAACTTTTCGGACAAAAAAGTCGGCAAACGGCTTTGTTTTATGTGATCATGAACATGAGAAAAGTGAACTGATTAACATGACAAAGAACTGCGAGAAATCGCAAAGTAACGTGAAAAATCGTCAAATTTGCGATTTTTCGCAAAAATCAAGATGGGTCACTGAGAAACTCTTTAAAAAAAACAGAGATATTTCTTACTTCGGCCTCTCTTTCCTGTACACAGCTTGTAGGATGCGATTTAATTTGCGGTTAAAAAATACTTCCGGACCTAATAACAGCTTACTAAAATTAACTAGTAATGGATGACGAGAGGCAAGTCGTGTATGCAAGTGCAATCGTTCCCATTTTTTTTGTTGTACTAAAATAAAAAGTGTCCTATTTTAGCCAGACGAAAAAAAGGTAACACATAGACCTATGAAGGTGCGAGTTGGCTTCCATCTTCGTGGCCTAGTCAATTCTAAGCGTACTGTGACGTTAGGTTTTTAGGGTGTTCTTCGTCTTTAACTGTCATAAAATAAGCAGCGTTGCGCTGGACAAATAGAAGGATAATCGACGGAACGATTCGGAATAACTGAAGGACGGAATGGGACTAAAGCTCGGTAGAACACTTTGCTGGACTGCGCGGCCAACGTCACAAACAATGCCAGAGGTACAGGGTCGTTAGTAACTTGTCCGTAGAACAAAGCAGAAATGATTTCAACAGGATTGGAACTCTTCAAGTGTGTTTCATCTTCACACGTAGTTAACTCGTAGACAACTCAAGTAATTCAGCATGGCTCTGTGTCTTAACGGGAGGTAATTCAGTTCTGTTGGTTCGAGATAATTCAAAGTGTACAGTGTACAAGCTTGCTTATATGTGGTCTGGCTATGCTAATACTGTTCAAATATTATGTTCGGCAAGTCTTTCATGTAAAATTACATTCATGGCAGAATAAACAATTAACATCCTCCTAGTTAAAAACGAGCTCGTACAAAGGATGGTAAAGCGGCTCAGAACACTTCAATTGCTCTAGATTATTGTGCTGAATATTACTAATATCCTGATTCTAGTTTGTGTTTACACTAAGTTTGTTAGAGACGGAAACTTCAAGGAAGTTATGTTTACGCAGCCTTCGTTTTCCCATCTAAGGTTAAATACGATCACAACTTCTTACTGCTTATGAATCTTGGTAAAACAAATTGCAAGACGGCTGAATAAACATTTATCTGTACAGAGTTTTCTGCGATCTTAAACTTCAAAGTTTTAAAATCTATTTGAAATGCTGAAATGTTAACTCTGATAAAACTGAGTTTCCGTTCTAAAGATAACGTTGAAATATCGGCTGTTGTGACAGTACCTATGCCCCTCCCCGGTGCATTTGCCGGTCATTTCTGTAAAGTGCTAAGTTCCCATAAAGAGGCATTTTTCGTACATCTACCCAGTGCTGGGCATTTGTTTTCGTACCTTTTGAATTTCCATTGGTTCTTTTTAATTAAGCGTTGGCATGAGACTATGTACAGTGACTAGGTTGTGTTGGTTCTGGGCACCTTCAATGTTTGTTTTGGTTTCTTGAGGCGCCTTCGATAAATTAAAATTCCCATTTTCATTCTCATTTTTTCTCATTGATCATTTATATGTTAAAAGACACTGTAGCAAATTACTAGATTATTATTATTAATAATATTATCATTAATTACTGCATTCATAGTACAAATATGGGGTTGTAAAGAATCATATTGGGCTGTCCAATAGAGGCCAAGGAAACAATAATATTTAAATCTTGTCTTAATGACAGCGCCATTTGTACACACAGTGTTAAAATTTTTATGATGTCTGTGTTATACATGACATTATGACATGACCTGGAATTTTTACGGCATCAAATGCTCACTCACCAAGTGTGCATAGTTAAACGGTCACAAATACACAGTTTTTCTAACACAATTGCATCAAAATACTAAAATAATTATCACCTTCGTCTTGTAGAATGGGATACTTAAGAACATCACATCACAACGTGCTGTACATGAATGTGAATAACTGAATAACAATACCATTCTGCATTTGCATTCGCATGCAGAGCGGAGCTCTACGTACGCGCGAACGCAACAAAACCCGAATAGAGAAACAGCGTGGGTAAGGGTAAAAGATCACAAAACTCCTGAGGAAATTTCTGGACGTATTTACTTCAATGATATATCGTCGCTTTCATAGCAACCATTGATGGAGGAAATGAATCATACGCTCACGCTTTAAACCATCGAAGGAGTTGTTAGAGGCATTAGATTCTTCTTCCAAAACCGGCGGCTCAAACTGGTACTGCTCACCGCTGCCTAACACATTATATCAATCGTTTTGGTCATTCAAGAGTCTTCCTAATAACCGCTCTAGTTTTGATCTTTTAAGTGTCTATAAAAAAGGCTTTGAAGGAAAAATCTTTGCCCAAATCTCACTTAGGATGCTTCCTTTCAGTCTTTACCGGGTAAAAGTAAAACGACAAAAGGAAAATGTCAATTTTTTTTTGTTCATTTGATTTTTAAACCAATTTCTAGTTTTCAACTAAATTAATTACTGACAATTAAAGAGTGCAAACCATGGACTTGTGCAAATTACTTAAATATATCTTGTTGGTCGTTATGTTAATCTAAAATTAAAACCTAGCTTACCAGAGGGCGGGAAACAATGCAAGTCAGGGTGCATGCAAAATAGTGTTTATAGCATAGCTCCAACGAGAAACAAACAAATAATAAAATAAATAAATAAACAAGGATGAGGTCCTCTTTCACTAATAATTCTTACTTAACCTTAACCTTATTCTTGCAGGTATCTGTACAATAACCAAATTGAACAGCTTTCATTTGGGATATTTTACAATCTATCTAAGCTACAGAAGTTGTAAGTTTGTATTTTTTTAATTGTCTGTTGCTTATTATCGAGATTACAATCACCATATTACGGAAACAATCATGCATATAAGACTCCGTAAAGGGAACCTACACGGCTTAGCATACAAGGTACATAAAGCGAGAGAGTAAAGACAAAAACAGAAGGCACTCTTTATATATATTAGTCACGCAGCACAGGTCAATATTTAATAAGTATCCTAATTTTTTATGTAGTATGGCTATGTCAACCTATTTTCATTCGAGGCAGTGGATCAGATAATTAACTTTAATTTTAGCGGAGCTCTCGGGCGCGTGTGCAGCGCACCATGGGTAAGGAAATCTACCCATTCCAGACACATTTTGTAATCACTTGACCGTACAGCAACCAATGTTTACTCTCACACTTTCTAGGTAGTGTTTGGGAACCCAGGAGGAAAAGCCCAGCCTCTTTGATAATACCACAGTACGAATCCAGTAAAATTACAGTGTTTGTATGCGGCAAAAAATACGATGCTAAAATTTGAAAATGCTTGCGAAGGAGAAGACAGGCCAACACGACGGACTTAGAGCTACAAACAAACTTACGGTGATTTGAAATTTAAAAATTAAACGAGACTTACCTGTAAGTTGAAGTTTGATTGTGATTCTACCGAGTTACAGAATGCTGAGAGATTACATGAGATAGCAAGTGCATGCGCCAATCAGGTTTTAAAGACTGAATGTACGTGTTATCCAACAGCAGAGGGGAGGGTAGGGAAATTGGGCATGTAATCTCTCAGCATTCTGTAACTCGGTAGAATCACAATCAAACTTCAACTTACAGGTAAGTCTCGTTTAATTTTTAAATTCTACCTCGTTACCATGTTGAGAGATTCCATGAGACTTCAAAGCAACACGGACATGAAGGAACAACAACATGCCACTTTAATAGTAATATGTAAATGATACTTTTTACATAGATGACAAGACTGATCTTGCATAATTTGAAGTCTTAGCTATAGGTTTGTTGTAAAAACGAGCAAAGCAGCATTCAGATGACCACCCTGCAGTTTGGAGAATGTCATCAAGATTTACAGAAGCCCTGCTTGCTGCTGAAACAGATGCAGCCCTTGTACTATGAGCTGAATATTTTGTTACATCAATACCAGCTAAAGCCATAGTGTATCGCACCCACCTAATGACTGTATCCCTGCTTACGGGCTTATAAGGTTTAACGTAACTTATCAACAGCTGTGACTGGCCGCTAGGTCTCAATACTTTAGTTCTTACAAGGTATTCCGTAAGCGTAGTAACAACACAAATAGAGGGTCGTTCAAATGATTCCAGAACAACCTGAGGGTTAGGTACCCCTGGTTTGCTTTGTTTTAGGTGGCTAGGGATGACAAATGTGTATTTGGCATCATTCACAAACATATGATTTATGTCTAACAAGTGAATAGTCTGGCCTCGTTGGCCTGATACTAACAACAACAACATAACAAGTTTCAATGTAAGCTGTTTAAGTGTCAACGATTCAACAGGATGAAGTGTAGCCAGGTATGTTAAGACCACTTGGACATCCCAAACCTCTGTATATTTGGGCTTGGGTGGTCTTGACTGGAAAACACCTTTCAACAGGCGACAAACTAGCGGGTTCTGTCCAACTACAGAGCCATCATCCAATGACACATAAGAAGACAATGCACTTCTAGCACAGTTGATAGCACTGTAAGTAAGTCCTTGGTCAAAAAGTTCAGAAAGGAAATCCAAGACTGCTCCTACAGGTGGTTGAAGATGATCGACTTTCCTCTGGAGACAAAATGCTGTCCATTTCTTGATGTACACGGAGTACTGTTTCTTAGTGCCCCCCCGCCAGGATGCCATGAGCAATCCAACAGCTGACTTCGATACTCCTCTTGTTTCATAGTACTGCCGGACAAGAGACATGCCATCAGTCTCATGTGCTTTCTCAGAGGATGTAGAGTCCCCGACTGTAGTAGGGTGAGGAGGTCCTTGTCTTGTGGGAGCATTAATGGATTTGCCACAAGAAGGCTTAGTAGCCGGGGTCACCAAACCTGTGTGGGCCACACAGGAGCCACCAACAGTGCTAAAGTCTGATCCTTCTCTAATTTCTGCAGACATCTGTTAAGCAGAGAAAAGGGAGGAAAAATGTAAACAAACTGTCCACTCCAGGAAAACGAGAAGGCATCTACGTGGCAGGCTCCAGGGTCAGGCTTCCAAGAAACATATTTTGGAAGCTGGTTGTTAAGTCTGCATGCAAACAGATCAATCTCAGGAGTACCCAGTATGTCAGTAATCTTACAGAATATATCTGGTTGAAGCTGCCACTCAGTTCTCTCATTAAATTGTCTGGAGCTTATGTCTGCCTTAGTATTAAGGACACCTGGCAAATGGCATGCAGTCAGCCAGATATCATTTTTCATACAGTACATCCAAACACTTTTAGCAAGTTTGTTACACGGAGGGGATTTAGTGCCCCCCATTGCATTAAGATAGCAGACAGTTGTAGAATTGTCAGTTTTAATGCACACATGCTTTCCTTTTAATAAGGGCTGGAAGGATTTCAAACCAAAATAGACTGCTAATAATTCAAGTTCATTAATGTGCTTTTGTTTTTCAAATGGGGACCACATGCCTTGGGCACTTTGTCCATTGCATACCGCCCCCCAGCCTAATTTCGATGCATCTGTTGCCATTTCTATATCTGGGTTGTCCATGGTGATACTTTTGCATGCTGTAGGTAGGTTAGTCACCCACCAGCGAAGCTCACTGATAGATTCTGACGAGAGGGTCATATTAGCTTCATAGTTGCCATTATTTTGTTGCAAAGCTGTATTTTTGTCAATTTCAAGACTCCTGTAAAAAAGGGGTCCATACTGTACAGCAGGCAAACTAGAGACCAGAAGTCCAATGACCTGGGCAACTTCTCTTATAGAAATTATACTTTTCTTTAGCAGTTGTTGGCATGCCAAAATTATTTTCTCGGTTTTTTCTGCCGTAAGAAAAACTTTCATGTTGACAGAATCTAAAAGAAAACCAAGAAATGCCAATTTCTGACATGGTTGCAACACTGACTTTTCATGATTGACCAGGAATCCTAGAGACTCAAATAGGGTTAGGGTAGTAAGAATATTACTTCTGCAGTCTGTCTTTGAGTCCCCCTGTAAATATGAGTCATCTATATAGCCAACATTTAAGTAGCCTTGGCTACGCAATGTGCTATACACTGGTTTCAATAGTTTTGTAAAGTATCTTGGTGCAGATGCTGGGCCGTTATGGAGACATGTGTACTGAAACAGCCTATTTCTCCAGAAAAACCTTAAATATATCCTGTGCTCAACAGCCACAGGAACAGTGTAATATGCATCTGTTAGGTCTATAGAAGCCATATAACAGTTTTTCTTCATTAACTGGATAGCACATGTTAGGCTTTCCATTTTAAAATGTTGATACTCTATGGATGCATTCAGTTCTTTTAGATTCAAGATCAGTCTGTAAGAACCATTTTTCTTTTTTCTGAGAAAAATTGTAGAGACATACTGACCATAACTAGGGTCAGTCTCCTCAAGAACCCCTTTTTTAAGCAATTGCTGTATTCACCATCAATAAGAGCAGCCTCTTCAGAGTTAAATCTGACTGGAGGCTTAGGATATTGTTGATAGGGGTGTTCAGTAAACTCAAGATGACAGTGTTCAACCATGTCAAGAATTTTTCTGTCTGATGTAATTTCCATCCAGGCAGAGAGAAAGTATTTAAGCCTGCCAGCAATTTGCAACTCTTTGTCCCTTACCTCAACATTTTGGTCATGAATTAGTTGTGGTTCTTCTGAGCAGCCTTCCTCCCCCCCTCCTTCTTGCTGAAGAGGGGGCGGCGGTAGTTTTTTGACAGCCCAGAATAATAATTATTATTCCTGTATTTGCCTTGGTATCTGTCTGAGTGACCATCACTTCGTGATCTTTTGAAGCTCTGCTTAGTTTCTCTACTAAGCTTGGAAGTGATTCGGTTGGTATCAGTAATGTCTTTTACCGCCTTGGGTAGATCATCTCCAAAAAGCTCAGTTGTTATTGGGTTTGAGGGAGCACAAAGATAGCGGTAGCTTTTGTGAAGTTCCGGTTTTAGAGCCTCCCTACGCCTCAGATTTAACTCTGTGTTAGAATTAGCCATCAACAGAACACCATCCATGAGTTGGTTAACTAGTTGACCCTTTGATGGCATATCTGGCTTGCTGATCAGGTCATTTACAACCTGGACCACTGCAGTTGTACCCTTAATAAGGGATTTTTGCACCTTCTGGAATTTAAGATCTGAGGTACGTGCTCTCTCTGAAAGATTATTCCAGATTGGTAGGTTGACCCTAGTTTCGGCCAGCATATCACAGTTTTTTGGCCTGAGATACCGTTTTTTGATTTCATTCAGCTTATCTTCCTCAGGTTTGTCTTTCAATAACTTTTGGACAATGGCGGCTAAGTTTCCATGAATTTCAGCGCCATCTTGTTCAGAGACATTAAACTCCTTTTCGAGTTTATTAAGTATGTCACTATTGTCCTTAGGCAGAGCAATGCCATCATCGGTTTTTTGTTTTTTACGAGCAGGTTCCTCAGGTCTGAGCCGCCGCCACGGTCATCCGACTCGCAGTCGGAAGCTACAGAAGCGTTATTCTCGCATGCGGCGTCGTTTTTTGCCTTGAGCAAATCGCCCAAATTGCTAAAACCCTTGTTCATCTCCACCGCAAGACCAGAAAAAGCCTCTTTGAGAAGGGCAGCCACGTCAGTGGTTAAACTTTGACCCGGGGTAGCAGATTGTTTTGAGCCGCTACGACGCTCTTTTGGCGCGCTTTTTTGCGCTTTTTTCCCTCGAGGAACGGCTAGGTTTTGTCACATTTTTTGTGACCACTGCCGTCTTAGAGGCACCAGAGCCAGTAGAAGGTGCTTTCTCGCTCTTCTTTTGCAACTTGTCATCACATTTAAGTGATTTTGGGGGATCTTTAGTCCCAGAAGTGGGCTCTGCGTCTTTTGACAGCGAGCCTTTGTGCTTCTCCGCACGTGTTGTGCTTGATCCTGCGGAAAACTCTTCGTCCCAGTCGTTCAAACTGGCGTCTAAGGCCGAGTCCATCTCTAGCAATTTGGAAATGGTAGTTTCCTTTGCTAAATTCAATGACTCGCTCATTTTTAGTAGATAAAAGAGCTGTATTTTTGGAAAAAATCCTCAAATACAGCGATAAAAAGTCAATCTGATCGGCGACAAACGTTGCACTGATTGGCGCATGCGCTTGCTATCTCATGGAATCTCTCAGCATGGTAACGAGGTAGAATCATCCTTGGCCAATTACTACCTGTAACTAAAGAACGCATTTCGCAAGTGTCATGAGTAAAATCCAGAATAGCTCCGTTTTTGCAAAACAACTCTTCTGTGAGTACATAGCACTGTTTAGGTTAATGTGGGTCGAGAGAGCCGCTTTCAGTAAAACCCTTATAAGGGACAAAGGTTTGAACAGACGCACATGTGCCTCTGATGGTTGCTTCACCAAGAGGGTCGGCCGGAGATTGACTGAACAACAAAACACATTGTATTTTCAAAATTCGAAAGTGCCCCCAAGGTAGAATTGTTAGAATTTAACTTTTAACAAAGGCTCCCACAATGCGGCAGCCTCGATCTTTAGCAGCTACTGTACGTTTCTTGAACCCCTCTTTACGGCAAATGGCAACATTTGTAATTTAAACGTTTTATTAAATTGAATCCAGGTTTAAAACGGATTTTGATGAGACTGTTATATCTCATGAATCATCTGTGTCATGAAGATACGCTAACTAACTCATTCTTACAGGTGGCTCTTCAACAACAAAATTGAGCAGCTTTCACCTGGGATTTTCTCCGATCTATCTGAACTAAGAGAGTTGTAAGTTTTTTTCTCGGTTTGTTGCTAATTTTCAAGACTAAAACAGTAGGCTTGTTCAACCACGTATACATACGATTCCGTACGAGTAACCTAGGCGGCTAGCATACAAGCAACATTAAGATACCAACACCACCCAAAAGCGTTGTAGGATACTGTAGCTGACGCCTTTTCCAGTAATAGGGTTGGTTCCATCAAAATACTCAAATGTGCCATTTTTAATACAATAAATTGCGCCATCCCGTGTGACACACGAGCGCAATGTAATTTTTGCAAGAACGCTGTGCAAAGTAAAACTGACATCGAAAATTACCTTTAAGGGACATGAATAAATTTTCTTTTGTCATCATTGTCCCTTCTTGAAACTGACTATAAGTGTGATGACTATGGACGTGATTCCGGTTATTGTAAACATTTTAGTGAAAGTGGATTCTCTTCTTATGTGGATGGAAATATACGGATAATATATATTTAATCCTAGATATGACATAGGTGTATATTACATATATGAAGCATATATGAAGCACTTGGAAAGTTTAAAGATTACTTAAGTAAAGTTACAAGGAGATCGCCCATCTCCTGAAACTCCATGCGGGAGCCTGTCAAATTTGCGGGTTCCAGCGCGAGTTAATAACGTTGAGAGTGGCTCAATTCTTGCTAAAAGTAGGGTAATTAGCCATGGAACCGCGTGGACTCGGCGCTTGTGATTTCTACTCCGATTATGGCTCCAGTACAAATCAGTAAAAAACAAACAGTTTTGGGTAATTCGTATTTTAAAGTTTTTTTTTATTATTGCCAATTTTAATCTTATAAGTAACAGTATTATTGTGCTAAGCCTCATGTGCTGGAAAAGCCATATGGTTAAATTACAGAGTTAGAATTAGATATCCTGAAATTCATCCGATTGCTTCGAGTCGTTTTCTCCTCTCAACAAGGGAGGGAGTAATAACGACTCGAAGTAATCGGATGAAATTCAGGCTAAGAATTAGACTGTTAATTACTTCCTTGGCGAGGCCTAATCAGGCATAAGCGGATTTTTGTCCTAATGGTACATATAGGAGCCGGTGACCAAGCTTCTAATGCCTAAAATGCATGTTTGTGACAGATAACATGTCCAAGTTTGCACGCAGTAGCAAAAATTGCGAAAAATTGGAGAAATCGCAGTGTTTGCTAAAATTAATTAAGTCAAGTGTTACAGGAGGTACAAGGGTGTCCAGCAAAAACTGCGATTTTTCCAAAAATTGCGAAAAATTGAAGAAATCGCAGTTTTTGCTAAAATCATAACAAGCCAGAGGGTCGATTTTAATGAGAAAGCGGTCCGTGCACACTTGGGCCAATCTAATTTTTCATTTTTCCAACAAAAACGGAAAAAGGAAATATTACTTAGGTCCGTGCACATTTCGGCCAATCTAATTTTCCATTTTTCCAACAAAAACGGAAAGAGGAAATATTACTTATCCTTATCATATTTGCATATTTCAAAGTACGGAAAGAAAGAGAAAAAAAGAAAATGGTCGGGAAAATCGATCATTTTTTCATTTTTCTAATTTTGAAGTTAAATTCAAAAATACAAAAAATACTGTTAACGGCTAAAAGCGATATTTTGCTATTTTTATTTTCTTGATATTGTTAGAAAAGCGAGAAAAATAAAATAATCTCCGAGTCCTAGATCATTTTTCTATTTTTCCGTTTTTCCCAAAAAACAGAAAAAAAGAAAAATGAAAAAAATGATATTTATTCGAACCATTTTTCCATTTTGTTCAAAAAATGAAAAAATAGAAAAATGGCATACCTATCGCCTAATTTTCCATAATTCCATTTTAACAAGAAAAATGAAAAAAATGACAAGTGTTGCGAATAATTTTTCCTTTTTTTTCAATAAACAGAAAACAAACAAACAAACAAAAACGGATAATTTTTCATCTTTTGTTTTAATGAAAAATAGCAAAGAAAAATGACAAATCATGAACATTTACCAACAGAGAAAAGAAAAACCTAATCCACTTTAGACTCACTAGTTTTGTTAGACGATTTACACAGGGTCAGCGGAGACGTGGGATGGGAAGTGACTGTTGCTGGCATGAAAACTGTTGAGTTACCCCCCCCTTTCCCGTACCAGTTTTCACGCCTTCTCCTCCCCGCCTCGTATCCTTTCTAATATTCTTCATTTCCACGGCCGGTACGGTACGGTTTTCCCTCCGCTTTCATCCACAGTCGACTCCCGACAACTCAAACCTTCAAGGAAATCGAGATCAAAAGTGAATGGAACTACGTTCGCATCTCGAAAACTAAGCCCTCCCCCCCCCCAAATTCCCCCACATCTCCGCCGACCCTGGGTAAATCTTCTACCCAAATTAGCGAGTCTCCTCTTCACCATTAAAATATTCATAACTTCTCACTTTTCTGCGCCATTTTTTCAATAAAATAAAAAATGAAAAACTGTCTGAAAGGGTGTATCGTTTTAAAGTTTTACTATTTATTAATAAATGGAAAAATAGAAAATTGCTCGCAACACTTGTCATTTTTTCATTTTTCTTATCAAAATGGAATTATGGAAAATTGGGCGATAGGTATGTAATGTTTCTATTTTTTCATTTTTTGAACAAAATGGAAAAAATGAAAGAAAGGTGCGAATAAATATGATTTTTTTCATTTTCCGTTTTTCTATTTTTGGCGAAAAACGGAAAAATAGATAAATGAGTTAGGAATCGCGCATTATTTCATTTTTCTCATTTTCTAACAATAGCAAGAAAATAAAAAATAGCAAAATATCTCTTTTAACCGTTTACAATTTTTTTTTGTATTTTTGAAGCTGACTTTAAAATTAGAAAAATGAAAAAATGATCAATTTTCCTGACCATTTTCTTTTTTTCTATTTTTGTTTGTACATTAAAATATGTAAATATGTCAAGGATAAGTAATATTTCCTTTTTCCGCTTTTGTTGGAAAAATGGAAAATTAGATTGGCCGAAGTGTGCACGGACCTTTTCCGATCCGTCAATGACAACATTATTGCTCTTCAGATCGTTGTGCAAGAAACCTCTTTCATGGATGAACATTAATTAGCATTTCGCATGTTTGCTTTAAGATATTTGCTCACATGGCAACATCTTGAATAACCTTTTCCGAAGCGGCCTTAAAAAGCGTTACGCTTTCACTACGCAAAGGGTGGAACTCCTGGTGGTGGGGGGGGGGGGGTTACCACCGTATGTGGGCTACTAATAGGTATGTGCCGCTGTAAAGGGTAATATAAATCAGAGCGTTTGGGTCTAGAATATTAATAGGGTATCATTTTTCAGGAAACTGATCAGTTGCTTGAAGATTTTATCTAGACTAGGGAACAGCTACTCTAGGATAGGGGGGACCTGGGGAGTTTACTCTAGTATAGGGTAGCAAAATTCAGCTTAAGTAGCTCTGGTATAGGTTAAGGGTTCCAGGGTCCCAACGGCACATCCCCACCCAGAAATTCCTAAAGTAGCCTCCCACCCCCACTCGGGGTGGAACTGGAGAACCAGATAAAATGGTGCCCGATCTGTGGAAACACCTAACAGAAGAGGGATTCCCCACTGGTCTCCAATTCCAGTAATTGCCGATGCTTCTCGCCACACTTCCTCTCTTGTCTTCTTTGGGGATTCAATTATTTTCATTTCTTTAGCAACAACGCGGTATTCATTGCGTTATAGGGCGATGTAGCAGTTCCCGAAGGTTCCGTTTCCAATTTTTTGGCTTTTCTCCACTTTCAGCAAAGACCTATTGATCTCCTTAAACGCAAGAGCATCTGCGTTCTTGCCGATGCTATTTTTTCTGGAGCTAACTTCGATTTGTTTCCGTCAAATTTTTGCGGCCGGCACGTATTTCTCTTCGGTATGACCTCTCCGTTTTAACTTCGAATGTGATAAATTGACCATGACCTTGCCTCTGGAAAAAGTATTTCCCTCTGGAGATAGTTTGTTGGCCTCGATCCGTTTCTTGTTTGCGGGCAGTGGTTCTGCCACCTTCTCACTTTCTGATTCGCAAACCTTTTCATTCTCCTCTCCCTCTTTTGGCATCTTCTGTAGTTGTGGTCCACGAGCCTTCTCATCATATTTCTCCTCTTGTGGCAACTCCTCTCTTTCTGGTACACCAAAGTTCTCATTCTTCAATCCTTCCTCTCATTTTCTCCTCTGCCATGCCTTATTTTGCTTTCTTTTCTCTCTTTTTGAATGCGCTCTTGAACGATACTTTCCATCCCTTACTCGGAATAATCGCTCTCCTTTTTTGCATAACTTCTCTA